TTATCAGAGGACACACACACAATCCCAAAATTCCAACCCCAATCGACCAGGGAACAACCTGCATCGAAATGACCACAGAAGTCAGAACCAGACGCAGGTGCGCCAAGTGCAGTTTTCCCAGTCCCGAGGTCGATCACACGGCTATCGGAGACGAAATCGTAGGAACCATAATTCAGGGAGAGACGGAGAATCCGAAGGTGGAAGCTCCGGCCCCCTTAACCCCAATGCACCTCCATACCAGGGAAGACTAGAACAGGACAGACCTCACGACAATCATTCGGGAAACCATTAAGTGGAGTTATGGAGGACCGAATGACTCCCGTTAAGATACCTCACGTATTCCAAGGTCCACCCAACGAACCCCGAACCTCAGGCGAACCCAGTAGAGAGAGGGAGTCTGATGACGAAATGAGTGACAATGACTTTGAGGAAACTACAGGCAATGTAGTATTGTTCATAAACGAGGCTAACCTAGCAAACAGTCCTCAAGTCGAAATCAAAGCAAAAGAGTGCAGATTCACCGCCATTCTAGATTCCGGCAGTGAAGTAAACCTTTTGTCGGAACGAGCCTACGAGAAATTAATCGGGACAGGTTTAACGATCCCCACACTACCAGTTGAGGGAGTGGTTCTCGTAACAGCGTTCGGCAAGCGATCTAAGCGGATTCGTCGGCAGGCCTTAGTAGAATTTTCTATAGGCCAAGATGTGTTCGAGACCATCTTCCTAGTTTCACCCCAGCTGAACAATGATGCCATTTTAGGTTGCCAATTCTTGAGAGAGCATGGAGTTACCATCGACTTCAGCTCGGACATGTTCAGCTATGTCCGTGACGGCGAGACCAGACGACGGACATTCGCTACCAGAGCCATAGTGCAAGGCGCTTGTAGAGGAGACAAGTCAACAGGTCAACGACCCAACCCTCAATCAGCTGACTATGACACAACCCCTCCCCTTTCCAGAGCAGCTGACTGCTGCAGTAGATCCCAGACCCAACCAACCGTAAGAGGCAGTGAGCCAACCCAAGGCGCTAGGCCCGGTCTTTGGATCGAACCAGGACCACTTGACCCGGAGAGGAACCAGGAGTTCCCGGATCCTGACCCAAAGAGGTGTCAGTTGAACTCCCGTGGAGAGTGTGTTCCAGCGAGTGTGGCAGCTTGCAAAGGCCGCCCCCGCAGCAGAGCTACTGCTAGCCTGGAAGCCCCACCCACTACTGAATTAGAATTGAATTCGGTAGGGATCGCCCTGCTACACGGTCAACCCATCCCAGACCCCAAAACCCCTTTCCCAGACCCCCGGTCGTTGCAAGCGGCAGACCTGCGCTCCTTAGTAGAGCAAGTGGATAGTTTGTCCACGGCTGAACAAGATGCCCTGTACCAGGTTCTACTCCGGTACAGAGAGCACCTGACAACGCGTCCTGGGAAGTGCAAACTTTTCACCTACCGATTTCAGGTAGATGCCGACCGGCCTATAATAGGTCATTCGAGGCCGATTCCGTACGCCCTGCGGCCAGCTGTTAGAGAACAGATACAGCAGATGCTTGATGATGACGTCATTGAGTTAAGCTCCTCCCCGATCCTTAACCCATTAACGGTAGTGAAGAAGGCAAGCGGTGACATACGCATATGCGTTGATGCACGTCGAGTGAACCAATATACTATCCCAGATCATGAGAGGACCCCACCCATGAATGAGCTCTTACAAAGATTCCATGGAGCAAAATATTTCACGTCCCTTGACCTGACTTCTGCTTATTTACAGATAGAGCTACATGAAGACTCTAGAAAGTACACGGCATTTATGTCCGAATCCACGGTTTACCAATACAAACGAGTTCCGTATGGATTTCGGAACTCACTACCGGCGTTTATAAGGGCCATAAAAGCAACACTGGGTGGAACCGACTTGGAAAATGTGGTATCATACGTGGACGACATTTTACTTCATTCCCCTACCATGGAAGANGAAGATATCTTATCTGACAAAATTTTGAAAGCCTACGCTCGAATGAAATTACGAGCCGACCGACGAAACGAAAGACGGAAGACTGGGAGGACCAAATGACAACCTAGGCGTAACGATCTCGTGTTAGTTAGGTGCCAGCCCATGGCAGACACCGCGCAGGGATTAACATCCAAGTTCCAAAGACCGTTTGAGGGGCCATTCATTGTCCAAAGGAAAATTAACCCTTCAATTGTCAGACTCCAAAGGCAAGATCAGGGGGCTCTTCAGTTTGAAGCATCTCAAACCATGCCTTAAGGAAAGTCTCGAACCCCAGACCCCCCATGAAAAGGCCGAACTGGATCCCCGAACGTAGTCCGGAAGATAAAAAGAGGAAAGAAAGAATAGTCAAACCCGATTCGAAAATCGCGACAAAATTTTTGGAGGATGATTCGAAATGTAAATTTCAGAGCAAGAGTGAATCCATGCAGAGAACCCTTTTTCAGAATTTATTCTTGGAAAGCACAAAATGTATGGGCAAAAGGGAACCCCACAGGCTAGGCAAAACAAATGAAAGAGAGAGTGAAAGGAAACCCCGTACCGTTGTACTAGCAGGAGTGAATTACAAACGTTTTGTTAGGCTAAAGTTTAAAGGGCCAGCCCTAGAACGACTCGAAGTGGTAGTCCGTTCAGTGGAAGAAAGAGTGGGAGGTAGCTCTACTCCAAGTGTGTAGTGCTACAGTGCAGTGCTGTGAGAGTGAGAAGGAAAGAATGAACTGAAAGACACGAAGTGACAGTGGTAATATCAATAATTGTTGTGATAACTGAAATTTCAAATTGTAAAAACTTAGTGAATAAGTGACGACCAACTCGAGAGGCTTGAAGTCTCACTGAGCGGTAACGACGAAAGAAGGAGAAGAAGAGGAGGGCGGCAAAACAGTCAAAACAATAAGATTTGGTCATCTGAAAATCCACATGTGTTACATGAAAAGCCCTTGCACTGTCAGAAAATTGGATTGTGGTGTGCTGTATCACATCGTTGAATAGTGGGCCCAATTTTCTTTGAAACAACATTGAAGACTCCAGTGTACCAAGACATCATTACATAGTTTATTGCGCTTCTTGAAGTTGAAGAATATGAGTGTTGGTTGCAGCAAGACGGTGCAACATGTCACACATCTAATGAAACCACGCAGTTCTTGCATGAGTTTTTCTGTGACCATCTCATTTCGAAAGGATTGTGGCCCCCGCGTTCACCCGATTTGTCACACGCAGATTTTTCCTTTAGGGGTACCTCAAAGGAATTGTCTATAATAACAATCGGCATACACTGGACGACATCAAGAGGAACATTACAATGGCGATTAACAGCATCAGTTTACAGGTGCTCCACAAAGTAGCCTCAAACATGGTAAAAAGAGCTCGGGCATGCATTGCTGAAACAAGGAAGATATTTCGGACATATGTTGTAAAGACATGATTTGATTTTGCATTTCTAAGATGTGAAGTTATAAACATTAATTGTAAGTGCTGTATGTCTTGTACTTTGTGCATTAAACCAGCAAAATATAATTGCTTAGTGATAGTGATAGTTCTGTTGTTATTGGTCATTTGAGGAAAGAATTGTGTTTTTCTGTACAACTGCATTTACCTCAAAGTAGCATAGGTATTTCTAGCAGGAAGGTCTGTGGTGGGGCTTGGTAGTCATAGGGCTGGACTGCCAAAGAATCTGCTTGTTATCCATGTATAACACTGTTACGGCGTGGTGGCGGGGGCGTGGAAGTATCCCTTTCTGCCACCCGGTTTAGTTTGCTGCCACAATCTTGTATGTCGAGAACTCTAATGAACTTATCATTGCTTACGTCACTGGTCCTGGCTTAACTCGCTATTCGCCGAAGCTGTGGGAGGTCCTGGAGTCGTCAGGGAAGAGGGTAACACTTAAAGAAATGCTAGGTTGAATTAAACTCACACACATTCCTATCCTATTCTATTTCCCTATGTCGCTATATACATATTATATACACACTTTGCCGACGTTTGTCGGTTCGTATTACAGTTGAGATGACCCTGTAGCCATCATTGGTCCTATCTCCTGTCCCCCTGCTGTCGGGTATTCTACTCCTGTGTATCTCTTAATGAACCTAGTCCATCTAGTTAGCACTATCTTTCTCTGGGGTTTACACTTTAAAATTATCAACATCACACTTAATGTTCATGGCTATATGAAGTTGGTTAACTTACTTGCTGAGGAAACAGACGCTCGCCATCACCAACCAACGCCTACTCATTGCCATCGCTCTCTCGGCGATAGCCTTCGGCTGAACTCTAAGTTACTTAATAATATTAAAAAGTCAAAAGTCAAAAGGTTTTTTAATTGATTCCTCTAGGGTTTATGTACCCTCTTTTTGCTGATTCTTTGTCTTCCTGGGGTATATTGGCCCGCCCATTCTGACGTGATTTTGGGTCGGTGTGGCCCACTCATTGGCTGTCAATCGAGAAGGGGTTGACTGTTTCGGGTCTACCGCCTTCTCCAACTCAGCGTTTTCCTCCTGCCATAGTGTTTATGACCTACTTCATATAGCTTCTTCCTCAATGTCAGCGTTATTACGCTGTCGCGCTAACATTCTGATTACTCAGGTATTGTCTGTTACACTTCTTCGCAAACCCAAGCTTCCTGGTATGTTTCATCATTTCTGTTTCTTAATCTAAAAGTCTAGATATTATTCTTCCAAATTTACGAAAAAAAACTATTTCTACTTGTACATGACCTTTGCCCCATTACAAACACATTTCCATAGATTCATCTTTTGTTGTAGCATACACAAATTTTTCAGGCAATCAGCAATGTCATTGTTAATGCTATTGTAACCGATTTGATAACCAGTCACAGATACATTGGTGTGTAGCTCAACAGTGACACAACTGATTGGCTGACAGAATTTTAATACATTGATTTGTTGCAAAAGCTTAAAATCTTTTCTTGTGTGTAGTGTTTCTACTAACAGATTTTGCACATTTGTCTTCGTTTTTAGGTATTCTTTAGAAAGGAAGAAGAAATAACTGCCTGTATACTATTGGACATAGTATTTTCTTTTGAGCATGATATGGAATACTTTTACTAGAAGTTGTTGAACAGTCCCAATTTTCATCCATATTGATAAAAAGATAAAGCCTAGTTTATGTTTTGATTTCTGAAGAGCTCTGTCTTCTGGAATATAACACCCTGTAGTCTGGTGAAAGTCAATTTATATTTTGGAGGAACATACCACCTCCATCTTCAAGGTCAAAGAACAAGGTAAGCAACACACTAGCATGTATCAGCCAGCCAGTAGACCTTGAACCATCATTCTCAGAACCTCAAATCATATGTAATAATATGCTGCAATTTTTTCAACTGGAATTGAGTGGAAAGTGGCCAAATGATTTATGTGATGTTCAGAGGATCAAAGGAGCATTCTACATTAAGATTGCAGAGGGCCTGTCAGAACATTTCTGCCTCACAGTTCAGCCATATCCAGATTGTGTTCAATTTTTGAAGGTAAATTTATGCCAATTTCTGTGAGACATACGAGAGAAAATATTGCTTCCAAATTCAGCATTAATTCAGCAAAAAATATATATTGTAACGTGTTTCGTTACGGAATACACCGTAGAGATTGTTAATTGGTTTATTCAACAACCTACAAGTAACGGCTACAATTAATTATAACAATGTTACGGGTTTCCACATTTTACAAACCCTACAATCAAATCTCTTCACACTATCTCCAATAGTCTTCACGTATTAATAACGCGGGAGCTATACAAGTCTCTCTGAATTACACACTCCAAATATAACTACTACAGCACATACAAAGTCTCGAAAGCACACAATAAGTCTTCCACTCGCTTACTTATTTGTTATCGCACACTGTCATATAAAATCTTGTAACCATGCGTTCGGGTCTTCTTACCGCGACTGCTGCTATGTTTCAACTCTGCTCGCAGACAGTTCAGCTCTCTTATATAGTGGCTGTATTTGCCTGTTACGTAGCAACGCTGTTGGAAGTTGGTTATGGGTACGTAGCAATTGCGGCGTTGCGCGTTACGTCACCTAGGAGGGGGGAGGGGAGGGAGCGCCGACTCATCCGCCACGTCACTGTGGCCTGAGTTGCCACGTTGCTGCCGGGTAGGGCGGGGTTCTCCGTTGCACAACATGTCACAATATATATACAGGGTGTCCCAGGAGGAATGGACCAAACTTCGGGAGGGTGTTCCTTATGTTAAAGTATGCCGATATAACCCAAAACACCTATGTCCAAAGTTGAACGGTTACGGAGATAATGGCCAGAGAAGTGTCAAACTTTGACCGGTGTTACACACTTGTTGATTACAAAATACATATTAAAACTGGCAGGAATATGTGGATTCTGTAATGTTAATAATGTACGTAACATCAAACTAACTTGTGAGTGACGGAAAGCCATAAAATTGAAGTACGAAATACTCGCTCGCCATGTCATAATTGTCCTTAGGTTTCCAAGCACTA